ATCCAAATTAGTTAGCATATAGTGCAACAATGATTTCAGGAGTAGATTCCTTAGTGCCCCTTACCCATTTAGCCCATCCCCCCTCCCTCACCCCTTCCAGTAACCCTCAGTTTGTTCTCCATATTTATGAGTCTCTTATGTTTTGTTCCCCTCCCTGTTTTTATATTATTTTTGTTTCCCTTCCCTTATGTTCATCTGTTTTGTCTCTTAAAGTCCTCTTATGAGTGAAGTCATATGATATTTGTCTTTCTCTGACTAATTTCACTTAGCAAAATACCCTCCAGTTCTATCCACATAGTTGCAAATGGCAAGATTTCATTCTTTTTGATTGCCGAGTAATACTCCATTGTATATATATATATACCACATCTTCTTTATCCATTCATCCATTGATGGACATTTGGGGTCTTTCCATACTTTGGCTATTGTCGATAGTGCTGCTATAAATATTGGGGTGCATGTGTCCCTTCGAAACAGCACACCTTTATCCCTTGGATTAATACCTAGTAGTGCAATTGCTGGGTCGTAGGGTAGTTCTATTTTTAGTTTTTTGAAGAGCCTCCATACCGTTTTCCAGAGTGGCTGCACCAGCTTGCATTCCCACCAGCAGTGCAAAAGGGATCCTCTTTCTCCAATCCTCACCAATATCGCCTGAGTTGTTAATGTTAGCCATTCTGACAGGTGTGAGGTGGTATCTCAGTTTGTATTTCCCTGATGATGAGTGATGTGGAGCATTTTTTCATGTGTCAGTAGGCCATCTAGATGTCTTCTTTGGAGAAGACATATTCATGTCTTTCGCCCATTTCTTCACTGGATTATTTGTTTTTTGGGTGTTGAGTTTGATAAGTTCTTTATAGATTTTGGATCCTAACTCTTTATCTCATATGTCATTTGCAAATATCTTCTCCCATTCTGTCGGTTGCCTTTTAGTTTTGCTGATTGTTTCCTTTGCTGTACAGAAGCTTTTTTATTTTGATGAGGTCCCAGTAGCTCATATTTGCTTTTGTTTACCTTGCCTCCTGAGACGTGTTGAGTAAGAAGCTGCTGCGGCTAAGATCAAAGAGGTTTTTGCCTGCTTTCTCCTCGAGGATTTTGATGGCTTCCTGTCTTACATTTAGGTCTTTCATCCATTTTGAGTTTATTTTTGTGTATGGTGTAAGAAAGTGGTCCAGGTTCGTTCTTCTGCATGTCGCTGCCCAGTTTTCCGAGCATCACTTGCTGAAGAGACTGTCTTTATTCCATGGATATTCTTTCCTGCTTTGTCAAAGATTAATTGACCATACATTTGTGGGTCCATTTCTGGGTTCTCTATTCTGTTCCATTGATCTGTGTGTCTGTTCTTGTGCCAGTACCATACTGTCTTGATGATTACAGCTTTGTAGTATAGCCTGAAATCCAGAGTTATGATGCCTCCTGCTTTGGTTTTCTTTTTCAAGATTTCTTTGGCTATTTGGGATCTTTTCTGGTTCCCTACAAATTTTAGGACTATTTGTTCTAGTTCTGTGAATAATGCTGGTGTTATTTTGATAGGAATTGCACTGAATGTGTAGATTGCTTTGGGTAGTATCAACTCCACGTATGTTAAGTATCGATTATACACCCCCTGAGTATATTCTCCTCATCTCCATGTCCCTTGCCAGTTGTCCTTCTGTCACTATCCTGGTCATTCTCATTTGAACAGGCTCCCAACTCTCCAATCTTCCTCAAGTTTGTGGACCACCAGAACTGGTGCCATCCTCTGGGTTCAAGTGGGACCAGCATTCTAGAGTAGTGGTTCTTGACCTTGACTGTGCATTGGAATCACCTGGACTTTACTGACCTGGGTTCAAGATTTGTACAGACTTCTGGGGTATATCATGCAACTGAGGCTGAGAACCACTACTGTAGAGTCTTTACTGATCAAAGGCATTCCTGGGTGCATGGGCTGAGTGTGGAGAAGGGATGGGGAGGGTGGTTAGGGTGGAGGAGAAGCTATAACCTGTTGTTGAATTGGTAGGTTTCTCCTTAAGATGGAACTAAGGTTACTTGGTTTTTAGGTTTTAATCTTGAAATATGTTGCATTAATACAAAACCAATATAATCATAACTTAAGTTTCACGGCTGAGCTAGGTAAGCTCATGTTTTCATGTTCCACATTTTATCATGTTTCTGGCAGGTATTTTGTTTTGCTATGGGATGTTATGACAAGGCATTTTGGGAGTTGGGATATGGGGACATACAGTCTCCCTCCTGAGGTATCACTCCCCTCCATACCTCTATCACACTACATATTACACATTAGCTACACCAGATCCCTAACTTATATTGAATTTGCTACTCACCTAAACTCCTAGTCTTTTTTCCCTCATGCTACTACTAAGCCATTACCCCATCTTATATTTCAGCAGATGCTTTTTTTTATTAATTAAAAAATTCACCTTTAATACTGATAAAGGCTAGGTAGAAGGATGTGGCTTAGGTGTACCACAGCAATGGGCTTCCCAATCCTGGACTCTAGAATTAGCTGGACTTTCCCACAGGGAATACTAGAAAACTACAGACTTCTTATGTGGGGACTGTCTTGTAAAACGTACTGCGTGGAGGCACAGACCATAAAGTGTGTTCTCTGTCTGCAGGCAGACACCCCAAAAAGGGAATTACATTTTACAAGGAAAGAAGAGGTAACTATGATGCATTGGCCCAATATGTACCACATTTACCATATTCATTGTAAATGCATGATTTCACTTAGTCTGTACAATAATTTTGTGATGTGCATGTAATTATGCCCACATTACAGAGAAGAAAGCTAGTGCTCAGAGGGGCAGAGTGCTAATAAGTGGAGTGTCAGGAGCGAAATGTGTGTCATGCCCTTTCCACCACACCATCCGCTAAGGTAAGGGAGGCACTTCATCTGTATTGAATTTCATTGTATTGGGTTCACTCCAGAATTCCAGGCTGTCAGTCTTTCTGGGTCCTATTTTTGCATGGCGTACATTTGCTAGGTTACAAAAACCTGCTCCACTGTGATGAAATGCAGAACACTTAGGAGATACTCTACCTGCCTTGGAGCAACTTGCTGTATAAAGTAGTAAGTCAGACTATACACTTGTGAAACTAATTAATCCTATATTCTTGACTCTGCATGAAAAGTAGAAGAGGGGATTTTTTTTTTCATCAGTGTGTCTGAATGATTTATACAGGTAGTTCCTAACTTGGAACAGGCAAAGTAATTTGTAAGGCAGATGTTTGATCATTTAAAGATACATTTCTCTCTAGAAATAATGTTTTACCTTCTGATCATCTGCAATGCCTGTTTAACCCACTGTGTACCTGGTATGTATAGTGAAAATACTATTCCAACTCCACCATGAATATATTATGGATTATTATAGCAGTGTATTCCTAATTCCTAGTAAAACTCCTGTCTCCCCAGTGGTGGCAGTAGCAGTTTTTAGATCTCTAGAAGATCATAGACCTGGTATGCTTGTTTAACGTGCCCAAATAATGAGTTCTTGACATTTGTAAATCCAGCAGTTTATTTCCTGATGAGAGGTGAGCACACCTACAAACTACCAACTACACCCAGTTTCAGAAGTGCAGAATATTCCAGATTTAGATACCCCTTTCTTCTCCAGTCAGTTTCATGCCAGACTTCTTGAAAATTGAGGTTTTGGAGCAGAATTATATCTCTGTACAATGAACTATTTCAAAAATTCCTTTGTACATAAATACCCACTTCTGTACTTTTCTATACTTTTCTGCACATGCTTTGGAATGCAAGGGGTCCCTTCCTGCATTTATCTGACTTACTCGGAGTCTGGCTCCACTGCCTTTGACATTTACAAAAGTCTCAAGTGCTTACCTCAGCATCTTTGACATTCTGTGGTTCTTGGGAAAAGGCTAGTTAAAATGGATGGAAATAATAAATGACTCTTTATATAGAGCCACTAGCCAGGGGCCATTTGCCCACGAGGCTGGAAGGGGGGGACCAGGAGTGAGACTCTGCACAAGACACTGTACCCCCTCTGTCTGCTCTCACTCACTTTGATTTACAACCTCCCTACCCCCCACGTGCAAACATTTATACTCTGAGTTGAAGGCTAAGGACTGTGGATAGGAAATACTTCTAAACATTTGAAGCCATTCATTTCCAGGTTTCAAACTTGATTTCAGATAGACCACTCACTCTGTTCATCACATCACATCTGTCCCAACCTTGGGGCCCTGGTCAAAAACTTCTAACCAGTGTCCTAACTAGAACCCACAACCCTAGAGATGCAGGAGGTGATGACAGTGTGTGTGTGTGTGTGTGTGTGTGTGTGTGTGTGTGTGTGTGTGTGTGT